AAGCCCTGACGTGGTTCGCTTTGATGTGGGCCTGTAGCTGGAAGTTAGGTAAGAGGAACTGGGGTGGAACGTCAGCACCGGCTGCCCGAACAGCGAAATAGTCGGTGACCATGATTTCGTCGAAGATGTGGAGACTCCGATAGTCGGGGTGAGTGTCGACGGAGGGAATGGAGAACTGAAGTTGTGTATCTTCAGTGATAGCTAATAGGGCCGGGGCGGTCTGATTTGTTGCAGCGGACTGACCTGGCATGAGTATGGCTGTAGCTTGTGCTACAGTGGTTTGGATGACTGTGTATCAAGCCTGGCGATCCAATGCGATGGGGACACTATATTCGACTCGGCTGCGATTGTTTTTGTTTATGTTTTGATGAGCAGCTGACGCTGCGGATCGAGAGGTACAAGTGCCGCCACGTACCGATAGTCACGAGTTTTGTGAGAATGAAGGAGCGGCTGATGCTGCAGGACGAGAGGTACGGGAGCCATAGCGATCCGGTGGCGATGAGATCGCTGAGCGGTTGTTATTATTTGGAGCGGCTGTTGCCGCAAAACTGGAGGAATTATTTCCGTGAGCGACTGTCGTCGCAAGAGGCCGTGAGCCGTTACTGTCGGGAGCGGCTGTCGCCGCGGAGTTTGAATGATTTCTGGAGTATTTTTGGTGAGCAGCTGAAGCTGCGTGCGGTACCGACCGATGTGCTGGCATTGTCTCTGAAATAATTATTCATATCGTATTTGAGAGCAACTGATGTTGCTTGGTGAGCGGTAATGCTCAATGATAATCATTGAATAAGGAGAGCAGCTGAAGCTGCGTTTGGGTGCGAGTGCAACCAGACTGATAGTGCAGTTAGTGCGAATATGTGAGTGAATACTGGGGAATTAGTTGCGTGTCCGTGGCCGGAAATTGTACTGGTGCCGAATGAATTTGGCCGGTAAGGTTTCGAGTGATGTCGTACGGTCTTCACGATTGGGATCATGGATGTAACCAGGCAGGGTCTTGACAGGCTCTGCGTCAAGAGATTGCAGTGCTTCTCTGTCTTCGGGTATGGATGGTAGAGTAAGCGCTGGTCCTGTGAGATATACGTAATGCTTTAGCTGATTCAGATGGACTTTGAAAGGATGCGATGTGGCAGCACAGCTGGTTATTATAGCGTTGGGGTGATGAATATCCACTACACGAAAAATCCCCGTCCAAGGTAGATGAAATTTGCGCGCTTCACCGTGTTTGGTTGCATCATGTTTGAGAAGTACATAATCTCCAACCTGAATGGACGATAGGCGTGCATGTCGGTCGTATACACGTTTCATGCGCTGTTGTGCTTGCTGTTTATATTCGTGCGCTAGTGACCAAGCGGTTTTCAGTGCATTCATTAGCTGCAGCTTGTACTGCTCCATGTCAATTTCACTATAAGATGTTAAGTTTTCGGTCTTAATGATGTCTTCTATCGGAAATCTAGGATCCCTGTCATACACCAGAAAAAATGGTGATTCCTTGGTCATTTCGTGAACAGATGTGTGCAGCAAAAAGTGATAGCTGGCAAGAACTCATTAAAATCAGGGTTCTGGGCAGTAATATATTTAGATAACACATTCTGAAAAGTGCGAAAAGTACGCTCTACTGCACCATTCCCAGCTGAGTGATAAGGTGTAGCATAACGCTTGTTAATGTACAACAATCGACAGAATTCTTGAAAAAAGCCCCAAACTCGAAGACGCGTAACGGTCACATCGTGACCTGATGCATCTGATCCAAACTAACAGCATACGGAGGCGCGAGAACAAACAAAACATGCAGCGAATGAGCAGCTTCACGAGCAACGATGCACAGGAACTTGGTATACTGAGGAACAGACGGGATCTCCGCTCCAACAGGCGGAAAAACTTCGCTTACGCAGTGGGAAAACGTCATCACAATAACGTCACCACAAATAACATCATCGCAATAACGACTCATAGTCATCACAATAACGACTCATCACAACAATAATAACGACTCACAGTTTGTAAGCTGACAGCCGACACAAAAGTTGCGTTAGCTACAGTGGAAAATATCTGTACGCTGGAAGCACCTACGGCTAACATCGCATCCTTCGCTAAGCTCTGGATCAAAACCTCCTGGCAAGCAATCTCAGCTGCAGATCCAATTACATCGTTATGCAAAAAAAACGAAAGCCCGTGGGTGGGCAAATAAATCAAAGTTTCTTTCGCATGTCCCTCAGTGCCTCCAGGCGACATAGAAAATTTCGCGAACATATGTGGAAGCCACGTCAACTTCTTGCTAATGAATGCCGCAGCAGCAGCATGTTAGGGGAATAAACGTTTCAAAAATCGCACTAAATATTCAGTGACCTAATGAAAAGGACAACTTGTACTATCTTTCCTTCAAATGTTTATTGACCACTGTAAAATGAAAATGTTATGCGTGTCAATAGTACACCATAACTGAGCAACATCCAACAACCACCGTTGTCAACTGCGTAGGGGTGACCAATGCTGCATCTGCCAACGCACCAGTCACAAGTGGCTTGACTTGTCCAAATGTGACTGCTGGGCAACGGCAGCAATTTCAGCACGGATCCAGCGGACTGCTGTTGAGAACCAAACACAAGATTCTATCGGAGCGGTCATGAACCTAACTTATGTAGTACCGGGGCCGAATTAGGTAGTCAGGTAGGCAATGGAATGCAAAAACAATATAGACACACAAACACAACCCCATACAACACATGG